CTTTTTTTTTTTTTTTTGTGGAGACAAAGTCTTCTATCACTTCGGCTGATATTGAATTCCTGGTCTCAAGTGATCCTCCCGTCTCAGCCTCCCAAGTATACTACAGGTATATGCCACTGCACTCAGCTATTCTATTTTTTTTCCCTTTGGTCTCAAACACCTGGCCTCAAGTGATCCTGTTACCTCACCCTCCAAAGTAGCTGAGATACAGGTGTGAGCCACCATGCTCAGCTCTTCAGTTATTCTTTTTGTTAAATTACCATCCATTGTGGTCTAATAATTTTATAAAATATCATAAAAATAAATTTTTAAAAAGTAAAAAATTATGTAAACTCATAATTTTTCTTATTTGATCTTATAGATAAAACACTGTAATGCCAGTCAGTACAAAGTTCCTAAACAGTCTTAATTCTGTACTTACCTCATTACACACCAATTAACAAAATATATAGAACAGCCATTTATAACCACCCTTTGACCAGCACTGATAAAAGATGTGCATATGTATGTACTTTTTCTTTTTTTTTTTTCCCAGATAGAGTCTTATTCTGTCACCCAGGATAGAGTGCCCTGGCATCATCATAGCTCTCAGCAACCTCAATCTCTTGGGCTCAGGAGATCTTCTTGACTCAGCTTCCTCAGTAGCTGGGACTACAGGCACCCACCAGATGCCTGCTAATTTTCCTATTTTTAGTTGAGATAGGTGTCTCTCTCTTGCTCAGCCTGGTCTCAAACTCCTGAGCTCAAGCAATCCACCCACATTGGCCTCCCAGAGTGCTAGGATTATAGGTATGAGCCATTGTACCTGGCCTACTGATGCATATATTTTAACAAAATGTTCAAAACCCATAAACTGAACATGTTGATGTACTACAACTATTACTTTAAATTTTTAAATAATTTTTTAAAATACATAACAAACCTAGCCATAACAAATCTGGCACGCTAGGAAAAACTGAGGCAAGAGGACCGCTTGCACCTGAGAGCTTGGGGTTGCTGTGAGCTATGATGCTGCATCACTCTACTAAGAGGTGACAAAGTGAGACTCTGCCTCAAAAAAACAAAACAACAACAAAAACCACAGTACAAATCAGTGTATAAGAAAATAAAAAGATTTTAAGCCCTATACAATGAATATATATATACATAGCAAACTGTCAGCATTTAATTTTGTGATAGTAGAATTAGAGAAGACTGGGCAGCACCTGTGGCTCAGTGAGTAGGATGCCGGCCTTATATACCAAGGGTGGCGGGTTCCAACATGGCCCCAGCCAAACTGCAACAAAAAAAATTAGCTGGACGTTGCGGGCCTATAGTCCCAGCTACTTGGGAGGCTAAGGCAAGAGAATCACCTAAGCCCAAGAGCTGAAGATTGCTGTGAGCTGTGACGCCACAGTACTCTACTGAGGGCAACAAAATGAGACTCTATCTCTAAAAAAAAAAAAAAAAAAAAAAGAATTAGAGAAGACTTTTACTTTGTTTTATTTACTTATTTTGGTTATCTTTATTTGCTACAGTGACCAAGTATTATTTGTTCCCTCTTTTCTTTTCCCAAAAATTTCTTTTTTTTTTTTTTTTGAGACAGAGCCTCAAGCTATCCCCCTGGGTAGAGTGCCATGGCATCACGCTCACAGCAACCTCCAACACCTGGGCTCAAGCGAGTCTCCTGCCTCAGCCTCCCAAGCAGCTGGGACTACAGGCGCCCGCGACACGCCTGGCCATTTTTTGGTTGCGGCCATCATTGTTGTTTGGCGGGCCCGGGCTGGGGATTCAAACCCGCCACCTTAGGTGTATGTGGCTGGCGCCTTAGCTGCTTGAGCCACAGGCGCCGAGCCCCAGAAATTTCTTTGTGGAGGCTTGGTACCCATAGTTCAGCAGGTAAGATGCCGCAACACACACCAGGGCTGGTGGGTTTAAACCCGGCCCAAGCCTGCTAACCAAACAACAAAAATAGCCAGGTGAGGTGGCAGGTGCCTATAGTCCCAGCTATAAGGGAGGCTGAAGCAAGAGAATTCCTTTAGCCTGAGAGTTTGAGGTTGCTCTGAGCTGTGACAACACAGGACTGTATGGAGGGAGACATAGTGAGACTCCATCTCCAAAAAAAAATTTCTTTGTAGAGATGATGTCTTACTATATTGCCCAGGCTTGTCTTGAACCCAACCTTCGTCTCTCAAAGTGCTAGAATTACGGCACGTGCTATGGCACAAAGTTACAAGTATTACTCCTAAAGTAAAACAAATTTTTTCCTTGTTGGTGGCGCTTTGAGTTCAAACATGTCTTCTTCATTCTCTTTTTCTTTTTCAATCTCTCTTAATCTTGTAAATTTAAGGATGAAATAAAAGCAGAAGGCCCTTCCTTCCTTTCCATTTCTATTATAAGAAATGCTATATAAAAACTTTAGACTTTTTATTTCCTTTTTCAGAACAATAAATAACTATAAAAGTCAACTAATTACCATATATATACCTGATTGACCCACCTCCCAAATAAGGAAACTAAATGACATGAAATTATATTACTCTAAGTAATGTAGGTTGTGTACCACAATCCAAAAAAAGGCCAGGCACAGTGGCTTAAGCCTATTATTTCAGTGCTTTAGGAGGCTGATATGGGAGAGTCACTTGAAGAGTTTGATCTCAGCTGTAGGAGCTGAGATCCTATCACTGCACTCCAATCTAGGCAAGAGAGTAAGGCACTGTCTCTAAAAAAAAAGATAAAATCTTTTTTCATATCCTCTATAAAAATTAACCTGGAAGGGGATGGTGAGAGGAAAGGAGAAATAAAGAGACTATGCATAAGTCCACAAAAACAATACAAAATATATAAATAGTAAAAAGAAATCATTTAAACAATTTTAAAACCTCTATCTGGCTCGGCCCCTGTAGCACAGTGATTACACCATGCATCAGCCACATGCACCGAGGGTGGCAGGTTTGAGACCAGGCCAGGTGAGCTGAACAGCGATGACAACTGCAACTAAAAGGGAGCCGGGTGAGATGGCAGGTAAGTGTTGTGTTGTGGCGGGCACCTGTGGTCCCGGTTGCTTGGGAGGCTGGGGCACTTGGGCCCAGGATTTTGAGGTTGCTATGAGCTGTGAAGACCAAGGGCATAGTGAGACTCTGTCTCAAAAACAAAAATAAACAACAACAACAAAAAGCTCTATCTAGCAGGGGTGTCTAACCTTTTTTCTATTCTGTCACATATTGGAAGAGTAGGAGTTCTCTTGGGCCACACAGTAAATACACAAACACTAATGAAAGCTGATTAACCAAAAAAAAAAGGTCCATGTATACTTTTTGTGATTTCTGACACCACAAGAAGCCAAAAAAATCCTCTCAAAATTAGAGTGTGGCCCAGGGCTACAGGTTGGACACCCTTACATCTACTACGTCTTACTAGATGGATTATTATTCTGAGCTTCTGTATTCCAATATGTATGTTTTTACAAGTCCATAGGCTTTCACAGACTTAATTGGAGGTTATATATTCAAGATGCCTAATTTATACAAGCACATTATAGTTTCCAATAGGAATACATGTTAACTATCCCAAGTATATGTAACAGTCATTAGCCTTTACACATAATAAAAGTAATCACCCAACAAAAGCAAGCAAATTTTGTTTCCTCCCAAGTCCTAACTTAAAAATTCAATCTGTTAGCAGTCTTCTGACTACTGTCCCAGCCCATACTAGGGCATTATACTGCTTCAAGGAGGACTCCTGTGGAAGTGTGACTCTTAAGGAATCACCATTTCCTACTTTACCTGGATTTCCCTCTTCTTGTAATCTCATAATGAATTCCTAGAAATTAAACCACTGGGTCAAAAAGAAATTAAAGAATCTGGCTCAGCATCTGTAGCACAGTGGTTACAGCACCAGCCACATACACTGAGGCTGGCAAATTTGAACCCAGCCCAGGCCAGCTTAACAACAATGACAACTGCAACAAAAATAGCTGTGCATTGTGGTGGGCACCTATAGTCCCAGCTACTTGGGAGGCTAAGGCAAGAGAATCGCTTAAGCCCAGGAGTTTGAGGTTGCTGTGACGCCATGGCACTCCACCGAGGGCAACATAATGAAACTGTCTCAACAAAAAAAAAGAAAGAAAGAAATTAAAGACTATGATGGAAATTGCCAAATTACTCTCAAGAGAAATTATACCAGTTTACACTCCCAGCACCAATCACACATTATTAAAGGCTACTAACAAATAAGGCTGAAGAAAGCCTCTCCAAATCAGTTAAATAAGTTATAGTTCAGATTGATCTGGTGGGGAATAGTATATATGCGACTCTTAAAAATAATGCAGTAGTTTTTCAAATATTACTTATATCTATGCATATATATGTTCAAGTGAAAAGGTGACCACTATATATAAAACAGAAGGAACAAACAGCAGAACAGCAGGTACTATACAATCCAAACTGTATAAAAAGAAAAGTGAGCCTGAGAAAGAGAAAGACCCCATCTCTGCAAAAAATAGAAAAATTAGCCATAAGAGGTGGTGAGGCCTGTAGTCTCAACTATTTGGAAGGCTTAGGCAGGAAAATGGCTTGAACCCAGGAGTTTTAAGTTGCAATGAGCTATGATGATATCACTGTACCCTAGCCCAGGCAACAGAATGAGACCTTGTCTTAAAGAAAAAAGAAAGAAAAGAAGAAAGAAAAAAAAAAAAAGAAAGAAAAAGATTTAGATAACTAGGTAGGTTGATATATAGATATGCTTGTATACATATTTATACAAAATTTTGGATACCCAAGAAATTTACCAATGGGAGAAAATCTGAAGGGTCAGAGGAAACAAAAAAAATCACCTTGCTTTTTGTAGACAAGTTCATGGTGATATATTACTTTCACAATAAACAAGGCAAAAAACATTTAAATTGCTTCCATTTCTACAAAACAGAATGAAAGGCCAAGAGATGAGCATTGGTCAGGATGTGGAACAATAGGAATATACAATGCCTGTGGAAATTTAAATTGATACACTTTTTAAAGGCAATATGGCACTGTTTGGCCCTGCTAAAGATGCATGCCATATGATCTAGATATCCCTCTGCTAGATACTGAGAAATTCTTCCTCTTGTGCCCTCAAACCCTCCGATTGGTCTACAGAAAGAAAATGAGCCTGCACCAGAATGTAAGCCAAATACAGTTGAGCCCTGAACAACACAGGTTTGACAGACTCCATTTGCACATGGATTTTCTTCCACTTCTGCTATCCCTAGGATAGCATCACCAACTTCTCCTTTTCCTCCCTGCCTTCACTCTACTCAAAGTGAAGCAGTCGAGGATGAAGACCTTTTTGATAATTCACTTCCACTTAATGAATAGTAAATACATTTTTTCTTTAAGATTTTGTCAATAACATTTTCTTTCTCTAGCTTACTTTATTGTAAGAATATAGTATATAGTACATATACAACATAAGCGTGAAAAGACTACGTTACTAGTAAGGCTTCTGGTCAAGACTAGGCTATTAAGGTTTCTGGGACTCAAAAATTTTATGTGGATTTTTGATTATATGAGCATCGGAGCCCCTAAATCCCACTATGTTCAAGTGTCAACTATATTTCACTAAGAAGGACCCTGTTTAAGATAGCTGCTTAATAACCTGTTTAATATAAGACTCTCTTGACAGAAGAAGTATGTTGACTTAAATTCTGGTGCAAGCTTCTTATTTTGTAATAAATTGCCATTTTGAGTGCACTAAGAACAACACATCTAATTGTTCACAGCAGTACCTATGTTAACAACAGAAACCTGGAAATAGCCCTACTGTTCAACAGTAGAACTGATAAACTGGCTATGTTCACATAATTCATACCAGAGCAAAAATGGCACAATTATAGAACTGCAGAAAAATATGGATAAATCTTAGGAACTATGTTGAGTGAAAAAACAAGTGAATCGAAGAAAGTAATATGTATGTTTCCATTTATTTAAAAGTTCAAAAAATAGGGCAGCACCTGTGGCTCAGTGGGTAGGGCACTAGCCCTATATACTAAGGGTGGTGGGTTTGAACCCAGCCCCAGCCAAACGGTAACAAAAAATAGCTGGGCATTGTGGAGGGTGCCTGTAGTCCCAGCTACTCAAGAGGCTGAGGCAAGAGAATCACCTAAGCCCAGGAGGTGGAGGTTGCTGTGAGCTGTGGCACCATGGCACTCTACCGAGGGCAATAAAACGAGACTCTGCCCCCCCCCCACAAAAAAGGTAAAAAAAATAGACCAGGCAAGGTGGCTCATGTCTGTAATCCTAGCCCTCTGGGAGGCTGACGTGGGAGGACTGCTTAAGCTCAGCAGTTCAAGACCAGCCTGAACAAAAATGAGACCATGTCTCTCCTAATAGAAAAATTAGATGGGCATTGTGGCGCACTATAGTCCCAGCTATTTGGGAGGCTGAGGCAGGAGTTAGAGGTTACTGTGCGCTAGGCTGATGCCACAGCACTCTACTGAGGGCAAAAGGGTGAGACTCTATCTCAAAGAAAAAGGGGAGGGGAAAGAAAGAGAAGCTGGGCATGGTGGCTCATGTCTGTAATCCCAGCACTCTAGGAAGCTGAGGCAGCCCAATTGGTTGAGCTTGGGAGTTTAGACCAGCCTGAGCAAGTTTGAGACTCTGTCTCTAAAAAATAGCAGGATGTTGTAGAGGGCGCCTGTAGTCCCAGCTACTTAGGAGGCTGAGGCAAGAGAATCACTTAAGCCCAAGAGTTTGAGGTTGCTGAGAGCTAAGACACCAGGGCACTCAATCCCAGGGTGACTAAGAGAGGATCTGTCTCCAAAAAAAAAAAAAAAAAAAAAAGAGAGAGAGAGAGAAAATACATTTGAAAATAGGTGGGGCATCTAATCCAAGCCCTGTGGAGCCAGGCAGGAGGAGTGCTTGAGGCCAATCATTTGAGACTAGTCTGGGTAATAGAGCAAGATCCCATCTGTATAAAAAATTTTAAATTTAAAAATAAAAACAATAGGCGGGCATGGTGGCTCACGCCTGTAATCCCAGTATTCTAAGAGGCTTAGGTGGATGGAATGCTTGAGCTCAGAAGTTTGAGACAAGTCTGAGCAAGAGCAAGACCCCGTCTCTAAAAATAGCCAGGCATTGTGGTGGGTACCTATAGTCCCAGCTACTCGGGAGGCTCAGACAAGAGAATTGCTTGAGCCCAGAAGTTTGAGGTTGCTGTGAGTTGTGATGCCACGGTACTCTACCAAGGGAGAAAAAGCCAGACTTTGTCTCTAAAAAAATAAATAAAAAATATAATAATAATATAGCCAGGTGTGGGGGACCTATAGTACTAGCTACTTAGGAGGCTGAAGTGGGACAATTCCTTGAGCCCACTAGTTCAAGGTTGTAGTGACCTATGATCTGGCCATTGCACTCTAGCCAGGGTGACAGAACAAGACCCTGTCTATAGAGGGGAATGAAAATAAAAAAAGACAAGAGAGACAGAAAGAAAATTAAAAAATACCCAAACTAGCAATTATAATATTTAAAGATTAAAAAAAAAACAGTATCAAGAGAATGATAAATACAAAGTTCAGATTAGTGGCTACCTCTGAAGGCAGGGGAAAAAAGGGAAGTGTACTTTAAAGTCATGACATTCTTTTTATTCTAAACTGCATGCTGAGTACATAAATGTACAATGTTTTTATTACTTTTTTATATCTTACACATACTCCATAAATTATTTGGAAGATCTAACTCAGTGCTTAATAACACATTTTTTAACTGGATAAAAATCACCAACCATCTACCCTCAAAAGCCTAGTCCCTTGGATGGCTCCAGTTTACCTGGTAGCTGGGTGTTACAGAGTACTGAATTCCTGTGGCTGACTGCATGGTTTCAGACACTGCTTCATACACAGGAGGGGCAGGGGCAAGCACCCGGTGCTGGTGAGGAAAAGCCTCTGTGCTGCCAGGAATCCGACGCTGCTGGGCCGCATACACCGGTGACTCCTGGTCATCTAAACGTCGCTTCATTCTGCACTCATGCTCAGGGATGCACTATAAAACCTGCAGAAACCAAAACATGCAGGTCAATTCTCACTCTGGTATGTTGTATGCAACTCAAAACCAATCACCAAGGTTTAGTATAAAGCTGAACTCCCTGAATTTATGATATTTCATCCTAGAGATTATCACTGGTAGTTCAAGCACACGTGTACATGGGAATGCACACACTTGCTCCATGGCGCACAAGTTGTAACTAAAAAAGGCAAAAATTTAAATGACATAGTTTTAATTAACTTGGTACTGCTAAGTTGAAAAACAGGCTCCAGTCTAAAAACACAGACACAATCTTCCTTTAATTGTATTCTCATGACTCAGCATCCGTAGCTCAGTGGTTAGGGCACCAGCCACATGCACCTGGGCTGGTGGGTCTGAACCTGGCCAGGGCCTGCTAAACAATGACAATAATAACAACAAAAATAGTTAGGCATTGTGGCAGGTGCCTGTAGTCACAGCTACTTGCAAGGCTTGAGGCAAGAGAATCACTTAAGCCCAAGAATTTGAAGTTGCTGTGAGCTGTGACACCATGGCACCCTACCAAGGGTGACATAGTGAGGCTCTGCCTCAAAAAAAAAAAAAAAAATTTATTCTCTAGTTTTCTCTACAAATGCTATCATTCCTGATTTTATATATCTATTCAAAATAATTTACCAAACCATTCAAATGCTTTTTTTTTTTTTTTTT